ACACACACACAAAAGCTTTTCTTATAGGGTGCTTATGGTTTAATGACTTGAGTTGTCATACACGAACATCACGACGACTGAATAAAAATATAATCTTGATTGAAAAAGGAACAGATATCTAACATCTTGTGATTTAGGGGAAAAAGTCTTGTTTAAGGAGTTGTCATCTAGTATTATGGTCACTAGAAACTCTAACTATCAACAGAGATTCTATGGTACGAGACTGGTTATGCAAAAGAGAAGATGCTATTATCTCTTAAGAGTCCTACCTAAGGTAGGCTGCATTGCTGGTTTTGTCTATAATTGCTAAGAATTTATTCTTTTTTTTTCCTTTTTTATTCTTCTCTTCATGTTCCTGACTCTGGTGTTAATAAACAATTTCTACAAATATTTTCAACTCTAGTGTTGGTAAATATCGCATAAATCCAAAAAATACGATATTCCTGACTCTAGCATTAGTGAATATTTTGTAAAAATTGAATTTGAAGAATTTTTTTTTATATCCTTTCTTTCTTATTTATCCTTTATTATTATTTTTCCTTTTTAGATGGAAGTAAAAAAACAATACACGATGTATTTGTGTTTAACAGTAATAGTCCACAAATTGAGCATATTTACAAAAAAAAATACAAACACAAGAAAAAAATAAAACAAAGTGTGAGGGGACCATAAATAAATCAATGAAGATTTCCAAATATCTTTGGAATTTATTAATATCAAAAAAGGGCTCGTTTAGCTAAACATCCAATTAAAATGAGTATAAAAATTATGGCCAAGGCATAAGGGTGTGTTTTGCCAAACATACCCTTAACAAACACAGTTTAGGTCGACTAGGCCTAAAGCCTAAATTCGGCCAACTTTTTTTTTTTCTTTTTGAGTTGAACCTAGCCTAGCTATACATAAGGTTCATGCATGGATGCAATAGCAACCAATTAATTATTTTAACAAGGAATGAAGGAAACTTACCTAGACGTGTAGCTGCTGGAGGGGAGTCGAGGAAGACTAGGCTAAAAAATAGAAGGGTTGAAGGGGGCAGCGGCTAGTATAAGATTTGCCACCCCCTTTCCTTTTTTATGTTCCTCTATTTTAGGGTTTTTGGTAATGGCCTCCTCTTGTAGTCTCTTCTTTTAGGGTTTCTCTCTAATTGTCCCTCCCTATTTTTGCATACATTGAGGTCTCTATTTATAGTGTCAGAGTCCTTTCGTATGTGAGAAGCAAAATTTCAATCAAGCTCACTCTCTTTTTCAAAGTTTGACTTTGATGAAGAATCAAATTTGAAAGCAGATAACTATTATTATCTTGAAGACAAAGATTATCTTCAAGATAGTGATTATCTTGAAAATATGGATTATCTTGAAGACAAGGATTATCTTAAAGATAGGGATAGAATAAAAAAATACACTGGAGTCTCTAGTTTTCACGCATGTTGACAAATCACACTTTTCATCGAAATAAATATATGATCTTTTAATTTTACATCTTAAACCTATAAAATTAAATTAAAAAGTTATTGGGCCAAAATCAGATTACAATATGAGTCATGAGTTTAAAAATTTAATGGGGGTTGATATTTTTTTGGTGTATTTCCTTTTTTATATTTCATTACTCGACATTGTTTTTATTTTCTTTTAATATGAGCTTTATAATTTATTTTTATTTTTTTCTATCAAGTTATCCCGATTTCATGACCTGACTGTAGATTTTACATGTTAACACAAGTTTGTCATTCAAACTGTCATTGTCTATTTTTGGGTTATTCCCTAAACTTTACTGTTTTTCTTTGAAAATAAACAAATAAAGTAATAATAGCAAAAGGACTGATGATTTAACAAAAGCAAGCTGAAAAGATTTCAGATATACCAAAAAATCAGGCTGAGATTTTAGACAAATTTGGAGCATAATTGTACCCAATTATATCCAAAACTGGAAAGACAATGCAAACTCAAGGTCAAAGTAAATTATTATTGGACGTATATGCATAAATATTAAGTTTAAAGACATAATTAGAATTTTAATGGGCTAATTTGATTTAATCACGGGTTAAAGTAAAAGTTTAGTTATGTTTAAGAATTAATTTGGGTCAAATTAAGGGATTTAATTAAGTCCTTTCACTTAATTATAAGTTAAATATGTTAAAGTAATTTTATTAGAGACTAATTAGTGAAAAATTAAGTTTGAGAGTTCAATTTGGGTTTAATTGAGAACATTGAAATTTTAAAGGACTAAACTTAATTTTTAAAAAGACAATTGGTTCAAATAAGGGGTAAAATTGAAGAGAATTGAACATTTAAGGTCAATTAAGGGTTAAATTAAAAAAAAATCATTGCTAGTTAAAATGAAGAAATTCATTACTAAGGACTATTTTGAAAAAAACACGCCAACTCTGGGGATTTAATTTATTAAAATCATGGAAGATATTGAAGAGATTACAAAGTTTAATGATCAATTTGCATGAATTCAAGATCAAGGTTCAAAATAAAAAAGGCATTGAAATCCGGGGAGGACATTATAATTCAACAGGGACAAAATTGCATAAAATTTAAAGTTTAGAGTCAATTAATGCTTCATTTTTTAACCCAATTTTACAAAATACACATCACCATGATGGTCTTGCATTTGACTACGAGTTCATTCCGACTAATTAACAATACATTTATCGTGGTACTGTCCTAAAGTGGCTAATCCAACTAGCCTTTCTACAACAACTTTTTAAGACATGATGACAACTTTGAATCAAGAATTGGAATCATTTTGTTTTGAATAAAAAGGCCAAGATTGGTTCTCAAAAGAGACAAAGTGTCCCCCTTCTACCTGTTATAAATAAAGGTGGATTTTATACACCAAGAGACAAGAAATTTGAGGCTAAATTTGGAAAAGATTCAACCCCTTCCCATGGTATTTTTTCCCCCTCATCTCTTGACCTCTTCCTTAGCCAACAACGCTACCATTAACCACACATTGGACTTTATTGCACCACTAGGAACACCTTCAACATCTTTTCTCCTCCGTTCAGGCAAGCATCCTCTCTATGTTTCTCCTCAAACTCTCCCCCTCGACTAGCAGAATGTGAAGAATCACGTTCTGCAACGCTCCTAACATGGTTGCTAGGCTAGGCCAGCGACCATGTTGGCATGGGCTAAATCTGTTTCAGCCTAGCCCATATGGTTGGTTTGGGTTTAGCCTAAAATAAAAATAAAAAAATAAAAAGGCTGTTAGACCATTAGACAACCCAACCTAGCTAGACTGAACCTGTTCTAGTCCAACCTGGATAGCTGGGTCAGGTCCAGCCCATACCCAATATAAAAAAAAACAGAGAGGCAAGAATATTTTGGGCTGCTAGTCGGTCTAACTCGATTGGGTCGGGTTGCATCCGTTGCAGCCCAACCTAGATGGTTGGGTCGAGTCTAATCCAATTTATTTAATAATATCTAAAATATAATAAAAAACTCAAAAATTTATGTCATTTCAAAATATTTGTGATTTTCTTATATGTTTTTCCAATAATTTTGCATAATATTGTGTTGTATATTGACACTATAAGATACAACTCTGATATTAAAATACTTGGTTCTCTCTCAAAAGTTTCTTAAAAGAATTTGAAATTTCAATAAAATTCAAAAAAAATTAAATCAATTTCCTCTTTCAAAAAATAAAAAAAAATATTTTGTTTTTATGCATATGATCAAATCTTAAAGATTTTTCATGCATATTTTCTAAAAGATAAAAATCACATTTTTATAATTTTTTTAATACAAAATTAGATATTGTAACTAATTTATGATTATCAATTAGGGTTTAATCAAATTACAAAAAAAAAACCATAATAATTATTTTATTATTCAGAGTGCTAGGTCTTAGCTATATCAAAGAAATAAATAAGCATGATTCTTAGAATGTTTAAGATTTAACTCAATAAGGTAAAGACTTCCTCACGAAGGGAAATCTACCTTAAATTTTAGACAAGACCAATAGATAGAAAAACGACCTCGAAAAACAATAAAATAATAATGCAACTTATCTTAGATAGGGTACAGTGCACTAGAAGTGACGCGTCTTCTCTTTGCACAACTAGTCCCTTACCTGGATTTTCATAGACCATAGATTTCTTAGTAGCCATAATACTAGGTTGTGACTCTTAAACTGCATAATCATAATTTTATGATTAAATTCAAAACTTTTTTTCACACATCATTTAGGAGGCAAACTCGCCATCATTCGACACCACGTCACTATGACAGAATGATGACTCCCCTAAGAAATGCCTTATCGAATTGGACTAAACTTATTTAATTGTTTGTTTGTTTGTTTTGGTTTATTTAAATTTAGCTTGTATTTTCACTACTTTAGCATGTAGTTTTATTTTTATTCATGCATATGTATTTTAAGTATGGATTAATGCCTTTATATATTTTAATATTTATAAGTAAATTTATTTTTAGATTAGATGAAAAGTAGCAGTCTATCTCATTAAGAGTTTTGACTCAAACCCTAGACTTGATTCCCAAGATCCTTTAACTTAGTCTTGGCTAGCATCTTGGTTGGACCTATCCTAATCTTGGTTTGAGCATAGTTATAGTACAATTTCTAACTCACTTTTGAGAGCCTCGAAACCTTTTTTACCATTTGAAGCTTTGGCTCCTTAAACCTTGGTTGCGCCAAGCAATGTCATAATCTGAATCTTAAGCTAGTTAAACAAAGGCTTGACTTGAACCACGAGCACCTCAGATGGGGTCCAACCCAATTCTCAGGTGTTTGTGTTTTGGTCCTAACATTGAATGGTCAAACTAGTTTTAGATACGAATCCATTACATACAATCATTTTCACCTACCAAACCCAACGTGATCACAAGACCTTATATTGTGGTATAAAAAATAGTATTAAGAAATTTAAAAACTAATTTCAAAGCTTGCTTTCAATCTTATTTTTTAAAATAAAAATTAAAACAAACAATTTTTTATTAAAAAAACTTTGAAAAAAAAAAACGATGTCAAACCCCTCAAATTGCCTCTCTTTTGGTGTGATATCCTCGCCGGTTTCTTGCATATTTCACACAACAGTATTTCCATACGATACACATTAATACTTGTAATTGCTGAAAATAAAATCTACGTTAGCTACACCCTTGCCACCTCCGAACGCGACTACAAATTCTATCTTATTTATTTGTAAATGACTAAAATTTACGTTAAATGTATTTGGCCTAGTAGCTTGTAAGACTTCCTTCAAGTACATGCAACCTTCGTAAGCCGAAGCTAGTTAAATCTTCATTTTCTAAACTCTTCCTGTGCAGGTTCAACCGCCAGTAGCAAGCCTCTTCGGAATTCCACATAAGGATAAGCAACTGGAAAGTCGTCTTCTTTTACTTTCCACCTGGTTAAAAGGCACAACATTATTGGAGTTATGTATCAAATTAAACAAGCCATGGTTTGAATATATATATATATATAGGACATGTTTGAGCCTCCTTCATGCGTTTCCTTGTTGAGATAAGGCAATTCCACAAGGGATTCTTCAGCAGCAGCAGCAGCAACAGTGATAATTCCATATGAGTGCAATTAATCATCAATCAATATTTATGTTTACTTAAATCTCATCTTTTTATAAAAGTTTTGCTCGAATCTCACATTATGAAAAAGATGGCTTCACAAAGCTTCTTTTTATATATAATTTCTAGCAATCACAACAAGTTTTAGAGAAGGTGCGATCCAACTTGGATTTAATTACTTAAAATAAAATTGCATTATTAATCTCAATTATTAAGGTTCCTAAGTGGGATGCATTGTGTTATTGGGTTAACCCAACAATTTAACATGTATAATCTTTTCGTCTCATCATCTAATTGGGGCTATGTCCTGAAATCTTACCTATAATTAAGGACAAGATGATGAAGGAAAAATGCTATCTCCACTTTGGCAAGTTCGGCTCCTGGACATAGCCGTGGTCCACCACCAAATGGCATCACTGTTTTCCTAGTCTCTTGATTCTGCCGAAGGCGAAAAAAGGGATTGAAACACAGTAAAAGGGAAACAAAAGAATATGATTAATTATGTGTGCTTAATCATATGGATCTCTCCATATCTGCACCAAGCAAGCAAGCAAACAAACTAATACCTCCTTTTAATACTTTCGAGTAATGTTAGTTTCAGGAATAGTATAGTTCTTTCTATATATGTTTTTAATTAAAATTCATAGGGCTTATCTCAGTATCGTACTTTCCATCTCCAGGGATTGAATTTCAAAGGACTTTCATGAAGGGATGGATCAAGATGTGGGCCGGATAACACAGGTATAACCTTCCAACCGGATGGAATGAAGTATTCTGCAATAGCAAGAACCAAGTTCGCGATGATATCAGACATAGAAAGAGGTAATGATAATACAAGAACTTCAAAATAATAATAATAATAATAAAAAAATACCAAACTAACAAAACTATATTAAACCTTTGTATTTGACATCTTGAATAGCTTTACGGTGTAAGAATTTTACCACATTCCCGCATCTCATAGACTCATATATAACCTGCGTTTAATTTGTGAGCTTTTAGATTAATTTCCTTATGCATACAAGTATTAGATCAAAACCTTGTATGAAGCAATAGTCAGCAACGTTTAATGTATCTTACATTTTTTGTGAACTCCATTTTCCTGTAATCTTCCATGTCCAAGGGTTCCCCAGCCTGTTTACTTTTTCTTATTGCGTCATGTTCTTCCTATATATCATTAATTAAAATTGATATCGAGAGGGAGTAAAAAAGACAAGAAACCTTTGATTAGCTAATGGTACTTGATCATGAGAAAGAGAGGCAGTGAGTTAGACAGACCTTTAAGGTCTGAAAAGCCTTCGGTACATGCCCAAGAAAGTAAACAATTAAGGCTATAAGTGTGGAGGTTGTCTCATAGCCACCTAGCAAGATGTCCAACGCCACGCTAACAATCTGTCCATCGGTTAGAATCCCTCGTTTTGACAAAATCACGTCTAAGAAGTCTTCTGTAATAAGCCCCACCTTCTCCTTTTCCCTTTCATTAATAATCCCTGTCATGGTGGAAGCAAGTCTTGTTCTTGCCTAAGAAGACATTGTGACATAGAGGGATAAAGCAAAGAATTTGAACTTATTAGCTAGTATTAAGACATATATGGACAAAACATAGACACGCTGCATACAGTAATTTTAACTATCAACATCACTCTGGTTACCTTTACAGCTTTGGAATAAGATGATCCAGGGAAGTTTAATGGCAAAGACACAAAGCCTTTCATGTAAGTTCGAAAATCATCTAATATCTTCAAGGCTCTTGGCTCTTCGGGTTCAATACTCAAAACGCTCTTCACCATGAGACTAAGTGTAAGCTGCACTTGTAAATCACAAAACGATGCTATCTCTCTATGTTCTTTCAAAGAAGCTGAGCGGAACATAGAGGTTTGCATATATCCACGTACCTTTCTGATATCTTTAAGGAAGTCGATTTCTGTACAGCCTTTCCATGACTTCAGCATTGAGATTGCTAGATTTTCTGTAAAATTAAGGAATCTTGGGGATGACTTGGACACTGTGTTGAAGGTGACAACAAAATTTCTTAACTTCCTATGGAGGTCTCCGGAGATAACAAGTAATGAGAATCTTCCAAGAATATCGTGCATGGCCTTGGGGTAGCTGGCTTCGAATAACCTCTCTTCATTTTGAAGGATAAACATGTTGAGCTCATGGTCGCAAGAAACTATGGCTGGAGAACCAAATAGATGTGATTTGAAAACTTTCCCATATCTGCATACATACATAATAAGAGCTGGGAAAGAATTAGATAGCTTCAACACAAAAGAAGAAGGAGATCATAAATGTCGTTTTTTGAAGAAACGATAAAGAAAGTGTATACACACTCAAACACTTAAATTGGTTTATGATCACCTGGAAACACGTTCTTGCAGGAAGGTTCCCATTGAGTTTGATGAATGAGGCTTGAGTAAGGAAAGAGTTTCCCCTACAAAGGGAAATCCCATGCTACCATCAGGTAAATTTTTATGATTGTGTCTTGAGAAAAAGCGTAAAAGAAATAAAGCCAAAACTAGTCCTAAAATGAGAGCTAATCCAATGGACGAAAACTCAGCCATACTTCTTGTTTTTCGTATTTGCTTCTATATAATTTGCCCACCTCTTGATCAACTGATCTGTTCTTCTCTCTTATATATATATATGTGTGTGTGTGTGTGAGTGTGTGTGTAATCCCATGCACTTAATTTTCCTGACATGTTTAAGTTGTGCCAAAATTAACTAAAAATGGTTTAAACTATTTTGTTTGGGTCCTGCTTTTGTTTTAAGAATTTTGTTTGGATTCTGCTTTAATTATTATTCTCAAGGAGGCAGATTCATTGATTTGTAGTCGATGTATGAGACATTTCTCTAAACTAAATATTCTATATAGGGTTGCCACCTACTTTATTAAAACATCTAAAAATGGTATTATAGACATTTTAGATAAGAGATTGAATATATTAAATAATAATAAAAATCACCATAGAATATCCTATTTAAGATAGATAAGACGCTACGGATTTGTTTAATTTAAGGAATCATTTTGCAGGTTGCAATATTATGCCAAGTTACCTAACTCATGTCACACGATGACAGATGATAGTCTCTCTAAAATTTAGGGGAAAAATAAATATACTAGAGTCATTAATTAATAATTAAAAAACATTAAGAATTATAAAATAGATATTGATACCAGAGATTTAGATACTAGAGATTCAAGTAGCAGGTTATTTATATTTTAAAAAATATCAAATGTATTCTTTTGAAATTCACCCCCATAAAATTACCAAATAGCAATATTGAAAACATTAATGAATAATATTCCATAACTAATTTCTGACAAAAATAAAAACACAAAAATTAAATTAATAATTTCTAATGGAATTGTTGATGGAGTAAAAAAATAAAAAAAAGATTAATAAAAATTATATAGGCTATTCCATTGGAAAGTTGAAATATCATTATTTGCTAATGAAATTACCAATGAAATAATTCAATCAGCAAATATAAATAAGTTATAACTGATAGTTTCCTCCCCTCATACCTTTTCTTTTACTTGCTAAAAAACATCAACAACCCTCTATTTTCTCATAAATTCAGCTACAACTCGTCAACGTCAATCTACATTTATTAGTAATATCATAATCTATTGTTGGATTTTTTGTGAAGCTTCGATACACAAAATAAATAAACTCACCCATTTTTTTGGTAACTTATTTATGTTTTGGGTTAATTTATCAAAGTCTTTTTTAATATTTATAGTTTGCTTATATATTTATGTGTTTTATAACTTTTTTCTAAAGTAATTTGTTATATTAATATATGATTTGTATGTTAGGGTTTGTTTGAGATTTGAGAAAATTTGAATTTTGTTATCATTTGATGAAATTAAGTTTAATTTTATAACTTAGATGTATTATAATTGAAGAAATAATATGTTATTTTAATGAGTACAAATCATTTTTTATCAATTTTATTGTTAAGCAAGTGAAATTCAATGTTTATATGTGAAGTGTAAGAATAAAAAATTTCACCGTAAAGATGTTGTGATGATGTATTTACTTTAAAAAATTTTTATTGAGAAATATTTATATTGGTTGACACATGGAGAACCCTAAGTTCCTCATAAAACCATGTTAGAAAGGATGGTTGACTTAACTTTTAACTCTAGCAATATACATGAGTTTGCGGATGATAATAATAATTCTTATAGGAATATGGTGACAAATAAAATGAGAATGAATCATAATTATTCAAATGAATGTTCACCTAACATCCCTTTAGATGAAGAACCAAATGTAGATATAATTAGGTTTTTACACTTCTGAAAGATTGCAATGAACCATTTTATGATTGATGCATAACTCATAGCAATTTGTTAACTATTACACTAATGTTTACCATTATATCAGATTATAGGTTAAGTGAGATCGATTATAATAACATTATTGAATTGATTAAAATCATGTTACGTGAAAAGAAAAGGCTGAAAAAAAACTTTTATATTGCAAAATCTATGATGAAATCTTTTGGTTTAGGATATCAAAAAATTGATAAGTGTCCAAACTTTTGCATATTATACTATGATAAATATGCAAATTTTACCAAGTGCAAACATATTAGCATACTCGATATAAACCCAATATTAGTAGAGAAAAGAAACTTATCACTACAAAAAATTAAGATATTTCTTAATTACTCTTACGTCATAAATGTTATTTATATCTTCAAAAATTAACTAGATAAATGATATGGCATCATTCACATGATGTAATAGATAGAGTTATGTTGTACTCTTTCGAAGGTAAAGCTTGGAATGAGTTTAATAATATGCATTACCTATTTTAAATAGAACCATGAAATGCACATTTAGCTTATGTATATATAGATTTAATCTATTTAGATCCTTTATTTTATTTTATTCTTGTTAGTCGATCATACTAATAATTCATGATTTTCTCTAGAGAAGTGTATATAGTCATAATTCATATTCTTATATGTGGTTATACCTTGTGTGTGTGTGTGTGTGTATATATGAGATGTCATATATAGAAACAACATAAATTTTTTTGAAAAGTAAATTTAAAATGAATATTGTACTGCTAGTATTATTATGTGATGAAAATTATATAATGTTGTTTCGTAGTAATGAAATTGTCAATGGACAAGCAATTTCATTAGAAAATTATAAAGGGTTACGATATGGTGATGAAATTACCGGTGATTGGATGAATATGTACATGTTTGTGAAATTAAAGAATGACGGGAAGAGAAGTAAAAATTTCAATCGCTTAACTCAATAATAATAATTTAAAACCATCTATTCCTAGCATAAGCCATTATTGTAAAAAAAATAATTTTTTTTTTTTTGTAAAATTCTGCACACATATAAATCAAAACTATAGTGAAAATAATTTTTTTTTTTTATTATGCACACGCATCTTCCATTGAAATAGTTTATACTGCTAGCTAGTTTTGCAAAAGCTACAACGTGAAACTTTTGGACAATGTTTCAAAATCTTGATAGATCTTATTTTGCAGGTTAATATGGTAATTAGCTGACTAAATTCTAATCTAGTTCAGAATTCAAATTAAACTAAAAAAATAATAATCTAATGTAACTCAGTTATCCTATCCTAGTAAGTTTCCATGCATCTCAATTCACCTAATCAAACTTAATTTGAATTAAAAAAATTTAAATTAATAATAAAAATAGATATTCTAATAAAAAAAAGCAAATAAAATCAAGGAGGAGAAATGTATTCTTAAAGTCAAAATTGTCTTTCCTAATTCATGAACTTTTTCTTGATATGACAATAACGCAGGATTTTTTTTTTCTTTCATTAATAGCATCGTTTATTGAATAAAAAGCATTATCAATTAGAAAAACATATTTGGAAAAAAGTACAACGATTTGAACTAAAAATGAAAAAGATGTATTTTTTAATAAAAAAACTAATTTTCTCATTTTCACAAAAATAAATTTTTCTATGAGAAGTATTTTCTTATAAGCAAAAAGAATTATTAGGATTATGAAAATAAGTTTCTATAAAAAAATTATTAATTGATCATTATACAACTATATAAAAAAATTATGAGAGTAATAGATTTGAGATAATTATATAAAATATTTATAGTAAAAATGATAATAAAATAGTTATTTTATTATCATTCAATATAAATGAGTAAATTATTGCAAACGTTTTTAATATAAGACTAATACAAAATTATTCATAAAGTAATCAATAATATCATCATAAAAAACCCCTAATCTACTTTAAAACAATTATACATTTTTTTTTTGTTATCAACATATTTTTTAATAAAATGTAGCGATAATGAAAATAAAAGTTTATTTAAAATTTTAATCATTTGAAAGAAGTATAAAAAAAAAGGTATCTCTTCATTCCAAACCTCATTTTCTTAATAATGCCTCTTTAATTATTTTTTTAATGAAAGTGTTTTTTTTAATCATAAACATTTTTAAAAAACAAAAAACTTAGCATTAGAAAGTAGGGCTGGGTTTTTCAAATCTAAAAACTATTTTCAATCTATCTTTATCCAAAACACCCCAAAAAAATCCTAAAAAACTCAATAAATAAATATTAAACTCTAAAATACACCTAAATCACTCAAAAAAACACAAAATTTAACCAAATTAAAATGTTCTTGCCTAACTTGATTTTTTTTTTTTGCTATAGGAAACATATCAATAACAATCCTTTCATTAATAGAAATTCAATAACCAACATCGATTCTTCTGATAGATATAATGTGGTCAATCAATCAATTTTTTTTATAAAATTTTAAAAACTAAAATTTAAAACAAATAAAATTTTAAAAACTCAAAGAACAGGAACTAAAAAAAAAAGTTAAAAACTTTAAGGATCAAAGAGTGCTTTTCCATGCCTTGTGAATAGTATAAGAAAATAAAACTGGACTGGATCTTTATTTTTATACAAAATTTAATCACAATTATTTTAATTTTTTGATAAACAAATTAAGTCATATTTCACAAAATTAAGCATTAATTTAAAACTGGAGCTTTTTTCGACACTCCAAATACAATGAATCATATGAATCAAAATGAATTGCCAGGTTTTATATCACATGCATGTAACATGGAAAGATGAAATAAAACAAAATAAAAAATGAAAAGAGAACCAGGCGCACTGTAGCAGTCAACATTGCACATCGCACCTAGGTGTAAAAGAATCTGTGAAATGCTATTTTCTTATAGTTAATTTTGTATTTTTTATATCTTTTTTTTACTTTTTTACAAATTCGTAATTTCATTCTTGATTTTCTTAATTTTTCACTTTTTTTCTATTAGATCCTAATGTTTTTTTTTTCCACATGTTATCAAATAACAACGGTTACCTTATAATTAAATTATCAGATTAATTGACACCAAATTTCAAATTAAAATAAATAAATAAAAATTCTGTAACGTAAAATTAAAACTAAGATACTCGAATGGAAAAGAAAAAACAGGTAGCTCAATGTTAATCAATTTTATTCTAAAGTTTATAGAAATTTTCAAATAAAAACTTCTTATTATTTTTAAGATCAAAATGAATTGCCAGGTTTTATATCACTTGTATTTTTAA